GACGTGTTTTGTATGGTGGTATATAAGACTGTTGATGGTTAAGACGTGTTGGGTATGGTGGTATATAAGACTGTTGATGGTTAAGACGTGTTTTGTATGGTGGTATATAAGACTGTTGATGGTTAAGACGTGTTGGGTATGGTGGTATATAAGACTGTTGATGGTTAAGACGTGTTGGGTATGGTGGTATGGAAGACTGTTGAGGAACTGCGGAGAAACAAAACCAACAATGTAACATTCATGCTAGAACGAACCAAGAGGGCCCCGATATCAGCGATCGGCGAGCCTTATACAACCCATTAGTCACAAAGTTCAACGCACTAAGTCGTCATTTGGGAAAAGATAAGGCGTCACTTTGGATTTAAGGTTTATAGCGGTCCCTTTAAACCAACCACAGTAGTCATTTGAGTGTTAATAATCTGGATTTTAAAGAATTTATGAAGTTACTTTTATTGGTTTATCGAATCGGTAAAATCTTATTTCTATAATCAAGAAGTAATAACCACGAATTTTAAATATAAAAAATGTTTCATTTTCTGCCCCTTATAAACGTAAACCTATAACTGAACATTGTATTAACAGTTTGTGTTACAAGACAGAGGTTCCACAGCAGAAGTTACCAGGTTTTAACAGTTTAACCAACAAGTCGAAAGCTGGGAAACGAAATAGTTATAATGTAACTACACCATTTCTCTTGAATCTGTTCATGGCTTGCTTAACTTGTCCCTCACTCAAGCTGAAAGTTGTCCCTCACTCAAGCTAAAAGTTGTCTCTCAGTCAATCTGAAAGCTATATTTTACTCATGTTAAAAGTTGTCACCCAGTCAATGTGAAAGTTATATCTTACTCATGTTAAAAGTTGTCCCTCAGTCAATCTGAAAGCTATATTTTACTCATGTTAAAAGTTGTCCCCCAGTCAATCTGAAAGTTATATCTTACTCATGTTAAAAGTTGACCCTCAGTCAATCTGAAAGCTATATTTTACTCATGTTAAAAGTTGTCCCCCAGTCAATCTGAAAGTTATATCTTACTCATGTTAAAAGTTGTCCCCCAGTCAATCTGAATGCTATATCTTACTCATGTTAAAAGTTGTCTCTCAGTCAACTTTTAGCTATATCTTACCCATGTTCTAAATTGTCCCTCAGTCAATCCAAAAGCTATATCTTACTCATGTTAAAAGTTGTCCCTCTTACCCGGTCGTAAAGTCTTCCCTCAGACAACACCACTAAGAACAAATCCATCCGTGGCGCTGAAGACACGCGACTACAGAATTGGAAGCTTTGCCCACTTGTTTCAGTATTATCTCAAGTGCATGTATCAAATTGACTGTTGATTGCCACCATTAGGCCAGACCTCTCGGAGTGCTGACAACCAGAGTGATGTTTTTTCTTGTGATCGATATCTCTAATTTGTTTTCTCGCTCATTTATTTAGAATACAACACACGAACAACAACGTTCATCTGTCTCTCAGACTGTACGTAATTAAAACCATTTGACTGCTTTTTCTCGAAAAGGGTTGGAACAATAATGAACGTGGTTATGAAAAATCACCGTTCCTTTCTGTTGATTCCAGATATTTTAGTGGTCAAGAAAATGGCTGCCTTCGGTCAATTTAAAATACAAAGTTCAGAAACTTGTAAACATCTTCCTTATCTCTGATGCATATATAAAGATTATTATTAAGTATGATGTCACAACCTTAATACTACGAATCTAATAACATACACTTATTCAACACCTTCATTTGGTAAAGTTTTCATCAAATATTTCTGTGATCTTATCACGTTGTAGCTGATTTACATCTCCACAGTACACAGATATATTTGTATTTGGTCATCGTTTTGGACAACACTAAATCCTGC